TAACCCTTGCCAAGCAAGTTGAAAGGCACGAATTCTTTATGAAAGAAAACGAATGCACTAATAATTTTAATTCATCAAAAACTAGTTTTTAACCTTACAAGGCTAGCCTATTTATAGGCTTAATGAAACAACTAAAAACCCTAAAGAAACCTAAAGGGGAGGTCGGCTACCTTGTCATCAAGGTGGGCCGGCCTCAAGCCTTCTACGGACAATTAGTCCAAACAAAATGGAAACAACGACTAAGGCCCTACTCGGCCGATTCGTAAGGAGGCCCACTGGAGTCTTCCTGGGCTTGGACCAAAGTGCAAGTTGCTTGATTGATCCTTTCCAAGCCTTCAATATCTCTATAGCCTCCATGTTGATCGTGGACAACTTGAACAAGGGCTTGGAGGGATTCCTTGAATAGCTTGGCCCGTGCACGTGTGACTGGGCCTAATGGGACTTGGACTGGGCCCTGGTTCATGCACACATCAGTCCCCTCCTCTTGTGAAGGATTTGCCCTCAAATCTGGATCCTCCTCACCAAGAAACGGGCTCAAGTCTGCGACATTGAAGGTCGCGCTAACATTGTACTCCCCAGGTAGCTCCAATTTGTAGGCGTTGTCATTAACCCGGTGGAGCACACGAAAAGGTCCATCCCCTCTGGGGGATAATTTGCTTTGTCGCTGCTTGGGGAACCTCTCTTTGCGTAAGTGTAACCAAACCCAATCACCAGGCTCGAAGATCATTTTGCGGCGGTGCTTGTTAGCCTGCTGGGTGTATTGCTGAGTACGCCTTTCAATGTTTGCTCGAACAGCTTCATGTAACCTGCGCACAAAATCGGCCTTCTTTTTCCCATCTAAGCTTGTGTGCTCAGAGGAAGGTAAGGGTACTAAATCAAGAGGGGTTAGCGGGTTAAAGCCATAAACAATCTCAAAAGGTGAGTAGTGTGTAGCACTATGAACAACTCGATTGTAGGCGAATTCAACATGAGGCAAACACTCTTCCCAAGTCTTAAGATTCTTTTTAATCAATGCCCGAAGTAGTGTGCCAAGTGTGCGATTGACAACTTCAGTTTGTCCATCGCTTTGTGGATGACTGGTGGTGGAGAATAGTAACCGGGTGCCAAGTTTAGACCACAGAGTCTTCCAAAAATAACTCAGAAATTTCACATCCCTATCACTAACAATGGTCCTAGGCATACCATGCAGACGGACAATTTCTTTGAAGAATAGAGTAGCAATATGAGAGGCATCGTCAGTTTTGTGACATGGAACAAAATGAGCCATCTTAGAAAATCTATCAACCACCACAAAGATGGAGTCATTACCTCTTGGCGATCTAGGCAAACCTAGAATAAAGTCCATAGACAAGTCAACCCAGGGATGGTGAGGGATAGGTAATGGGGTATACAAGCCATATGGATTTGTTTTGGACTTTGCCTTGTGGCAAGTAGCACACCTACCAACCATGCGGTCAACATCCCTACGCATATGGGGCCAGTAAAAGTGCTCTTGCAACATAGCCAGTGTCTTGGCAATGCCGAAGTGGCCCATGAGACCACCACAATGTGCCTCTCGAATCAAAAGATCACGAATGGAAGAGTTAGGCACACACAGTTTATCTACATGGAATAGAAATCCATCATGCAAAAAGTACTTTCCATGCGGATTCTTAACACACACGGCATAGATATCACCAAAGTCATGATCATTAGTGTAGAGGTCCTTTATCATTTCGAACCCAAGCAATTTGGCATCAAGACAGGCAAGCAAGGAGTGTCTACGTGACAAGGCATCAGCTACCACATTTGTCTTGCCAGTTTTGTACTTAATCACATAAGAAAAGGTGTCAATGAAGCTTACCCATTTGGCATGTCTCTTGCTTAATTTAGGTTGCCCTTTGAGGTACTTCAATGACTCGTGATCAGTGTGTATCACGAACTCTCGAGGGCGAAGATAATGTTGCCAGGTCTCCAAGGCCCTCACTAAGGCGTACAACTCCTTGTCGTACGTGGGGTAGTTCAATGCAGCTCCTCCCAACTTTTCGCTAAAGAAGGCACACGGCCTCTTGTCTTGCATTAGGACTGCGCCAATACCTACACCAGAAGCATCACATTCAATTTCAAAGGTATTGTTAAAGTTTGGTAATGCTAACACAGGGGCATGCGTTAGTGTGTCCTTGAGGGCGAGAAATGCTTGGTCTTGTGATTCTCCCCAAAGGAACTTGTCATGCTTCTTTGTCACGGCGGTCAACGGGGCGGCAATAGTGCTAAAATTCTTGACAAATCGCCGGTAAAAGCCCGCCAATCCAAGAAAGCTGCGCACGTCAGGGACGGATGTGGGGGTTGGCCATTGCTCGATGGCGTCAATCTTGGATTTGTCCATCTTGATGCCCTGTGAACTTACTACATAGCCTAAAAACACAAGCTCGTTAGTACAAAAGGTGCACTTCTTGAGGTTGGCGTACAGACGCGCCTGTCGAAGTGTCTCAAGAACTAATCTCACATGCTCTAGATGCTCATGCTCACTACGGCTATAGATCAGGATGTCATCAAAGTAAACAATGACAAACTTGCCAATGAAATGTCTCAACACATGGTTCATTAGTCGCATGAAGGTGCTAGGGGCATTAGTTAAGCCAAACGGCATGACTAACCACTCATAGAGACCATGTTTGGTTTTGAAGGCCGTTTTCCACTCGTCGCCTTCTTTCATCCGAATCTGATGATAGCCACTCCTCAAGTCAATTTTGGTGAAAATAATGGCACCATCGAGTTCATCAAGCATATCATCAAGTCTAGGAATGGGATGACGATATTTGATGGTGATAGCGTTCACAGCCAGACAGTCAGTGCACATACGCCAAGTACCGTCCTTTTTGGGCACAAGTATCACTGGCACAGCACAAGGACTTAGACTTTCCTTTACCCAACCTTTACCTAAGAGGCCATCAACTTGCCTTTGCAGCTTCTTGGTCTCTTCAGGACCCATGCGGTAGGCAGGTTTGTTGGGTAGTGGTGCCCCAGGAATGAGGTCGATTTGGTGCTCAATCCCTCGAATAGGTGGTAAGCCATCAGGGACTTCGTCGGGGAAAACATCCTCAAATTCCTGCAAAAGAACAACCATACTCGCAGGCAATGCCTTATCGAGTTCAGCAACATCTAAAAGCACATGTTTGCAAATCATGAGAAGGACGGGCTGATCAGAATTGACAACTTTCCTAACGTCCTTGGCCTTAATGATCATGTTTTGCTTCCTAGTGGTAGGTGGCGTAAGTGATTTCTCACGCGTCACACTAGGTGTGCTTCCTTGATCCTTAGTCAATGACTCACTTGCAGGGGTGGAGCCGTTGCCAGGGTCGACCGCCTTTTGTCTCCTTCTTTGACGGTCTTGTTCACACTCTCTTTGTAGCTTAAGTTGGTCCTCATATACTTGGGCAGGTGTAAGTGGTGTGAGAACCTTGCGTTTGCCATCATGCAAGAGAGTGTACTTGTTGGCCCTTCCGTCGAACGTGACGTGTTTGTCAAATTGCCATGGTCGACCCAAGATAACATGGGTGGCATGCATAGGTACCACGTCACAAACAACTTCATCGGTGTAAGTTCCAATGGAAAAAGGGATGCGTACCTGTTTGAAGACACGTACCTCTCCTTCCTCGCTTAACCATTGGAGGCGATAAGGGTGTGGATGTCTAGTGGTTGGAAGCCCTAAGCTCTCAACCATGAGTAAGCTTGCCACGTTTGTGCAACTCCCACCGTCGATGATGAGACTACACACCTTGTCACCTACTTTGCAACGAGTGTAAAACAGGTTTTCCCGTTGTAATTGCTCATCCTCCTTAACTCGGGCTGTTAGCACTCGTCGTGCCACCAAACACCCGACGTCCCCTTGTATAGGCGAGCAATCTTCCTCAGTAAAGTCGTCATCCAGGCCGTCGCCTTTGGTCAACTCGGGTAGCTCCTCACAGTCGTCGTCATCGGACACAATCTCGCCATTGTGAGTGATTAGCATGACCCGTTGGTTTGGACATTGAGATTGAATATGCCCAAACCCTTGGCACTTAAAACATTTGATGTCCCTGCTCCTTGCCTTAGGAGTCTCTTGTGGTGCCTTAGAAGTAGACCTGGATACAGCGGGACCCTTGTTAGGTGTAGAATAGGCATTACGATTAGAGGTGTTACCTTGGATGCGGTTAGAAGAGGTTGGTATCGCCGCGTTTCCAACTTCGTGGGTCGCCCTTCGTGGTTGGTTGCCCCTCCATGAAGTGGTGTTAGAAGATTGGAAAGGACGTGCTCCTCGTCTGAGCTTCTTTCCCCGCTCGGCCTTGATAGCGAGTTCTAGAAGGTCGTGCATGTCCAGGTAATGTTGGAGCTCCAAGGCTTCTTGAAGGTCGGGATTGAGACCTCGAAGAAACCTAGCCATCGTGGCTTCATTGTCCTCTTGAATGTTGGCCCTCATCATGGCCATCTCGATCTCTTTGTAGTAGTCTTCCACACTCATGTTGCCTTGAGCGAGGGTTTGAAGTTTAGAATGGAGATCGCGATTGTAGTAGCTAGGAACGAATCGTTTGCGCATTAGTGCCTTGAGTTCGCGCCAAGTCCGGACACGTGGCTCGCCCATCCTTCTCCTATGGGTCCGTACTTGGTCCCACCAGACTAGTGCGTAGTCGGTGAACTCCACGGTGGCAACTTTAACTTTTTGTTCCTCGGTGTAATCGTAGCAGTCGAAGACCATCTCGATACGGCCCTCCCACTCCAAGTAAGCCTCAGGGTCACTTTTGCCTTTGAATGCGGGGACTTGAATTTTAAGCCCCTTGAGTTCGTTCGTAGGCGTGTCCCGTCGCGGCCCCTCGGGTCGCTCGTCGTCGTCACTGGCGGAGTAGTCCTCACTGGGTGCTCCTTTGCGGTCACGACCACTCCGATTGCGTGATCCAGAACGAGAGCCTGGGGTGAGACTCTTGGTGAGCTCGTCAAACCGGTTGTGCAACTCTTCCATTTGTTGCTCACTAATGCGTTTGAGCTCATGTCTCATGGCGGTGAACATCAGAGAAAGGTCTTTGGAAGGTGGTTGTTGATCTTGCTCCATGTGTCTCGTGATGCCCCCCCCCTGCAAAGGTTAGTAACAAGCAAAGAAAGTGCAAATATAATCCTCACTTCACTCCCTAAGTGTATCTCTCGCGCTCGTGTGTAGTGCTCAAGTCACTCTATAAAACTTACCAGGTACCTTTACCTGTTGGTTTAGGTAGTTGAGTAATGTTGCTCGAGCCCGATTAGCGTCACCAACTTGTCCCCCACAAGAGTAAGCAAGAGATTTGTTTTGATGAAGGGAAGGACGGTTTTGGAAAGCTTAAAGGTGGTGGACAGATTTGGAAAATATTACCAATAAAGGAAACTCTAAGAATGCCTAAGATGTAGGAGTAGTTTCCTAAAGTGAATGAGGAAATGTAGGAGAATATCCCAAAAATGGAGGAGAAAAAGTAGGAAGGTGTCCAAGTTTTATCCAAGTGTTGTACTTAGTCTCCTAAACTAAGTTGGCAAACAAGTTGGAGTTGAAAACTTCCTTTGAAAACCTTGCTTAAGCAACTTCCTAATTCTTCTCAAAACAGATTCGGTTCCCTCTCTCTCCTCTTGACCGTAATTTTCCAGAAATCTTCCCTTTATTCCCTTCCCAAAGTCGGCTAGAAGACCCTTATAAACCCTCTCAAGCAGCCGCCCACTATGCTCACAACAAAAACCAGAATTGGGCCACCGAAATTTCCAGATTTCTTCCTTCTTGAACCCCTCCCAAGGTCGGTTATTGTTCCCTATTAACCTCCCCTCACAGCCGCACACTTCACCCAAGAAGTTCGGCTCTCTCTCTACTCTCAAGTCACAACCAGTTCGGCTCCTTCCTTCGTGCCAAGAGTAAGACAGTTTCGGTTGTTGTGCCAAGTCAATGGCGTCTCAAGACAGCGTGAACCAAGTCTCTCAAGGTTCTTTCCCACGGGTTGCTCAAGAAACTCCCAAGGATTTTATTCCTAAACCAAGGAAACCCCGTATGGATGCAAGAACTTACAAGAAACTCTTTATTCGAAGAGAAGTGCAAGTCTTCAAAACTCTTGATGGTCAAGAACCTCAAGAATCCCAAAAGGTAGTGCAAGTAATCAAAGTTCAAGGTGTTCAAGAATTTCAAGAAGAGGTTGGTCAAAACTTTTGAATTTTTTTTTTCTTCTACTTGCTGTAATTTTCTGGTTTGGGTACAAGATGCAATAAGACAGATTTGGCAATAAAAAGTGCGATTTTCCTTCTTGGTTTTCTTGCTACCCGATGGCTCTTCTTGTTTCTTTTTCGGTTCTTTTTTTTTTTTTTTATACTTGGTAATAGACTACACCTGGCCGAAAGGGTTTCAAACCAGATTCTGATCAAGTCCTAATTTACTACAACCAACAGCCCCAAAACTCCAAGTTTTTTATCAAGAACTTCCAAGAACTTCAAGATTAAGTTCAAGAAAGTCAAGAATCCTAAAACTCACGTAGATTTCCTTCAAGATTCACAACTCCAACAAGTTTGGTCCACAAATCAGTTTAGGAAACTAACTAAACAACTTAGATAAGCGACTAACACTTGGACAGATTTGGCAATCACAAAAACTCTAGCCGCACCAAAACCCTAGCCGCGGTTTTTTTCTTTCTTCTTTTTTTTTGTGTTTTTTTTTTTCAGTTTCGGCTAGGACCAATTGCTGGGCAGAATGGTTGTAATACGAGGATAAAATCTGGGCAGATTGGACTAGCAACAAAAACACACAACTGTCCAGAAATTTACGCGACCAAGAACAAGAATTAGCGAACAGATTTTTTTTTTGACTCACAACGGACAGAAATTTCTATTTTGTTGGTTGTCTCCTTTTTTTTTTTTTTGATGAATGCGGACACCAATGGACAGAAAGGAAAGACTCACGGCAAGGCACAAGACAAGACACGGACAGAATGTTTTTTTTTTTGACAAGCGATGCAAACAGATTTTGTTTGTTTTTTTTTTTGACTAGCAAAGCAGCAACGGACAGACTTGAAGACACAAACGAACGGGTATGGATACGAACTCAATCAATAAAACAACGACCAGAATTTCTAGATAACAAACGAAGGAAAACGGCACAACGAAGCAACAAAGCAAACGAACAGTTTTTTTTTTTTTTTTTTCAAAACACAAGGCAGCGGAAATAATGAAACTAAGACACAACTATGGATATAACGGAAGATACCTCCACCAAAGCTCTGAAGCCAACTGATACGTTCTTCGATCCACGGTCGAGACACGTAGCACGTTTGCCCAAGGATCTAGCGGGGATGTCCAACGCTTGGATTGCGGAACCCTTACTCAAACGGACAACTCGATTTGATTGGAGGTGGTAGACGACACTCCAATGAAGGTGAATACTCCAGGGGAATAGGTCGGACGAACAATCAAGGACAGGACGCGAGATTGCTCAATAACCCTTGCCAAGCAAGTTGAAAGGCACGAATTCTTTATGAAAGAAAACGAATGCACTAATAATTTTAATTCATCAAAAACTGGTTTTTAACCTTACAAGGCTAGCCTATTTATAGGCTTAATGAAACAACTAAAAACCCTAAAGAAACCTAAAGGGGAGGTCGGCTACCTTGTCATCAAGGTGGGCCGGCCTCAAGCCTTCTACGGACAATTAGTCCAAACAAAATGGAAACAACGACTAAGGCCCTACTTGGCCGATTCGTAAGGAGGCCCACTGGAGTCTTCCTGGGCTTGGACCAAAGTGCAAGTTGCTTGATTGATCCTTTCCAAGCCTTCAATATCTCTATAGCCTCCATGTTGATCGTGGACAACTTGAACAAGGGCTTGGAGGGATTCCTTGAATAGCTTGGCCCGTGCACGTGTGACTGGGCCTAATGGGACTTGGACTGGGCCCTGGTTCATGCACACATCAGAATGTGATGCTTCTGGTGTAGGTATTGGCGCAGTCCTAATGCAAGACAAGAGGCCGTGTGCCTTCTTTAGCGAAAAGTTGGGAGGAGCTGCATTGAACTACCCCACGTACGACAAGGAGTTGTACGCCTTAGTGAGGGCCTTGGAGACCTGGCAACATTATCTTCGCCCTCGAGAGTTCGTGATACACACTGATCACGAGTCATTGAAGTACCTCAAAGGGCAACCTAAATTAAGCAAGAGACATGCCAAATGGGTAAGCTTCATTGACACCTTTTCTTATGTGATTAAGTACAAAACTGGCAAGACAAATGTGGTAGCTGATGCCTTGTCACGTAGACACTCCTTGCTTGCCTGTCTTGATGCCAAATTGCTTGGGTTCGAAATGATAAAGGACCTCTACACTAATGATCATGACTTTGGTGATATCTATGCCGTGTGTGTTAAGAATCCGCATGGAAAGTACTTTTTGCATGATGGATTTCTATTCCATGTAGATAAACTGTGTGTGCCTAACTCTTCCATTCGTGATCTTTTGATTCGAGAGGCACATTGTGGTGGTCTCATGGGCCACTTCGGCATTGCCAAGACACTGGCTATGTTGCAAGAGCACTTTTACTGGCCCCATATGCGTCGGGATGTTGACCGCATGGTTGGTAGGTGTGCTACTTGCCACAAGGCAAAGTCCAAAACAAATCCATATGGCTTGTATACCCCATTACCTATCCCTCACCATCCCTGGGTTGACTTGTCTATGGACTTTATTCTAGGTTTGCCTAGGTCGCCAAGAGGTAATGACTCCATCTTTGTGGTGGTTGATAGGTTTTCTAAGATGGCTCATTTTGTTCCATGTCACAAAACTGACGATGCCTCTCATATTGCTACTCTATTCTTCAAAGAAATTGTCCGTCTGCATGGTATGCCTAGGACCATTGTTAGTGATAGGGATGTGAAATTTCTGAGTTATTTTTGGAAGACTCTGTGGTCTAAACTTGGCACCCGGTTACTATTCTCCACCACCAGTCATCCACAAAGCGATGGACAAACTGAAGTTGTCAATCGCACACTTGGCACACTACTTCGGGCATTGATTAAAAAGAATCTTAAGACTTGGGAAGAGTGTTTGCCTCATGTTGAATTCGCCTACAATCGAGTTGTTCATAGTGCTACACACTACTCACCTTTTGAGATTGTTTATGGCTTTAACCCGCTAACCCCTCTTGATTTAGTACCCTTACCTTCCTCTGAGCACACAAGCTTAGATGGGAAAAAGAAGGCCGATTTTGTGCGCAGGTTACATGAAGCTGTTCGAGCAAACATTGAAAGGCGTACTCAGCAATACACCCAGCAGGCTAACAAGCACCGCCGCAAAATGATCTTCGAGCCTGGTGATTGGGTTTGGTTACACTTACGCAAAGAGAGGTTCCCCAAGCAGCGACAAAGCAAATTATCCCCCAGAGGGGATGGACCTTTTCGTGTGCTCCACCGGGTTAATGACAACGCCTACAAATTGGAGCTACCTGGGGAGTACAATGTTAGCGCGACCTTCAATGTCGCAGACTTGAGCCCGTTTCTTGGTGAGGAGGATCCAGTTTTGAGGGCAAATCCTTCACAAGAGGAGGGGACTGATGTGTGCATGAACCAGGGCCCAGTCCAAGTCCCATTAGGCCCAGTCACACGTGCACGGGCCAAGCTATTCAAGGAATCCCTCCAAGCCCTTGTTCAAGTTGTCCACGATCAACATGGAGGCTATAGAGATATTGAAGGCTTGGAAAGGATCAATCAAGCAACTTGCACTTTGGTCCAAGCCCAGGAAGACTCCAGTGGGCCTCCTTACGAATCGGCCGAGTAGGGCCTTAGTCGTTGTTTCCATTTTGTTTGGACTAATTGTCCGTAGAAGGCTTGAGGCCGGCCCACCTTGATGACAAGGTAGCCGACCTCCCCTTTAGGTTTCTTTAGGGTTTTTAGTCGTTTCATTAAGCCTATAAATAGGCTAGCCTTGTAAGGTTAAAGGGTAGTTTTTGATGAATTAAAATTATTAGTGCATTCGTTTTCTTTCATAAAGAATTCGTGCCTTTCAACTTGCTTGGCAAGGGTTATTGAGCAATCTCGCGTCCTGTCCTTGATTGTTCGTCCGACCTATTCCCCTGGAGTATTCACCTTCAT